CTCGCTACAAAAGATCTTCATGCACCGCGCGCCTGTACGTAGGCCGTAAATACAAATCATCAGTCAAATCGAAGTACAGCTCAAACCCTGCAGTACGTGTTGTTAATTACGTCGTCTTCACACACTGGTGGACAAACCCTTTTTAATACCAGTTCACAACCCCCTATAGTCCCGGTTATACAACCGGGACTACGAATCCGAGACTAAAGATGCATATTTTTAGTCCCAGTTAAATAACCGGGACTAAAGATGGATTTTTAGTCCCGGTTAGTGTTAAAAACCGGGACTAAAGATTTAGTCCCGGTTAGAATTAACAACTGGGACTAATGTTTTTTTTTCTTTTTTTTCCTGCTTTCATGATTTCGAGCACCACCATTCATATTATCCACGAATCATTTTAACACCACAGATCATTCGAAAAATCCCCAAATACATCAAGCTACATTTTTATCCCCAAATACATCACAGATCAATCACAAAATCCCCAAATACATCAAGCTGCATTTTTATCCCCAAATACATCACAAATCATTCACAAAATCACAAAAACATCTCTACAAATTCATTCACACATCACACATCACACAGATCAGAAAAAAAATCGACATCGCACAAATCGGCTGCACATATCACACAGATCAGGAAAAAAAACCACATCACAGAGATCGGGCGCCGACCGTCCGCCGCCTCACCGGCCTCCCGCCGGCCGCCTCGGGCTCCGCCGCCGCCTGGGGAGCGCCGCCGCATTGGGAGCACCGCCACCCGCCGCCTCACCGCCCGCCCGAGGAGCGCCGCCTCGCGGGCCTCGCCGCCCGCCTGCCCGGCCGCCTACCGCCTCGCGGGCCTCGCCGGACTCGCCCGCCCGGCCGCGCGCCGCCTCGCGGGCCTCGCCCGCCCGGCTGCCCGCCGCCTCGCGGGCCTCGCTAGACTCGCCTCGTCGGCCGCCCGCCGCCTCGCCGGCCTCGCCTGCCGCCTGCTCGGCTGCCCGCCTCCCTGCCGCTGCCGCTCGGCCTCACGTGGTAGGAGGAGGAGGAGGAAGAGAAGGGGGAGGAAGGTGAGAGGAGAATGGATGGAGGAGGTTGAGGCTGAGAGGGATAAGCTAGCTAGCGAAGGGATGGAGAGGACGGTGGGATCGAAGGGATAAGGGATAATTAATGAGAGGGGAGAGGATGGTGGACTGGTGCGCGCGGCTCAGTTGATTTTTGGTCCCGGTTGGTATAAACAACCGGGACTAAAGATCTATTTTTACCAGGACTAAAAATAGATCTTTAGTCCCGGTTGTTTATACCAACCGGGACTAAAAATGAGCTGGGACCTAACTCGACCCGACAACTTTTTTGAACCGGGACTAAAAATGATCTTTAGTCCCGGTTAATGTTACCAACCGGGACTAAAGGTCAAAAAGTTTTTAACTGGGACTAAAAACATCTTTAGTTCCGGTTTCTATTCGAACCGGGACTATTATAAATTTTAGGTGACCGAGTAAAGATGGTTTCTCCACCAGTTACCATGGCGACAACGGCGCCGCCGCCGCTGCTGACAGTCGGGGAGGCGTGGCCGGACGTGTCCTCCGACATGCTGTGGTTGCGCTTCGGTGTTGTGCCATGCATGATAATAATCTGCTGCTTGGGCCTTGTGCTCCCCGACCCTCGTTTCTTCCTCGCCGTCCCGTGGCGGCTGCCGCTGCTGATCTCGTGGGCCGTCTACATGTCGCTGGTCTCCTCCGTCCAGACGTACACGACCCTGTTCCTGCCGCTCACGCCGGCGCCCCTGCATGAGGCCATCGACAACGTCGGATACGCTGGGATCGGCGGCGCTCTCGGGGCCATCTACAGCATCGTCTTGCCCTGGGGGCAACCTGCACTTGTGGAGAAACCATTTTTGATTGATCGACCAAAATCTATAATAGTGCCGGTTTCATTAAAAACCGGGACTAAAAATAATTTTTAGTCACGGTTTATAAGAAAAATAGGACTAGATAATCTTTATTTCCGGTTTGTATTAAAAATCATCTTTAGTATTTTTAGTCCCGGTTGGTTCCATGTCAGACTGTGTCAGGCGCATAGGATCTTTAGTCCCGGTTTGTAACACCAACCGGGACTAAACATCTATTTTAGTCCCGGTTGGTGTTACAAACCGGGAATAAAAATCAACACGTACTATATAATCCCTATTACTTATGCTCTTCTCTCGTCCACGCAACAAACTCTATCTCTTTCTTTCTTTCTTCCTCTCTAACTCCTGCCTTATCTCTTTCTTTCTTCCTCTCTTTTTTCTTTTGGATCGAGCGAGATCGAGGGCCGGCCGGGCGGCGGGCGGCACGGCCGACGTGGCGGCGGCCGGCGCGGTGGCGGCCTGCGCGGCGGTGGCCGGCTGGCGCAGAGAGGAGGCGACAGCGGCCGGCCGAGCGGCGCCTCTGTGGTTTTTTTCTCTTTTTTTTAGAATTTGTGATTTATTGCATGATTCTGTGATGTATTTGATTTGTGTGCGATGTGAATTTGTGATGTATTTGCGATGAATTTTGTAGAACTTGTGATGTAATTTGATTTGTGTAATTTTTTTTTTAGGATTTGCGATGTATTTGATTTATGTGTATAAGTAACTTAAAGATTTGTGATGTGGATTTGAGATGTTAATTTGATTTGGGATTTGGGGATATGCATACCACTTGATTGGGGAGAAAATAAAAAAGAAAAAAAAGAAAAGAGGACTATTTGTACTGCTATTATTCCCTCTTTAGTCCCGGTTGGTAACTCCAACCGGGATCTTTAGTCCCGGTTGGTGTTACCGGGACTAAAGATCGATCTTTAGTCCTGGTAACACCAATCGGGACTAAAGATAGCGATTTTTAGTCCCGGATTCGTAGTCCAGGTTGAACAACCGGAACTAAAGGGGGTTACGAACTGGGACTTAAAAAAGCACTTCTCCAGCACTGCTGGTAGCGATGGCCTTCACTTGCGTCAATGCCGTGTTCATCGTCGTCACACTCGTGCTCTGGGCATTCCTCGTCGGAAGGTACAGCCGGCCGGCGCCGGAACATCGATCACACTCCACGTCCACATCCAGATCCGCCGAAGAAATCACATGGCGTGACATACATTGTGTTATATATATATATATATATATATATATATATATATATATATATATATATATATATATATTATCATTCGATCGAGGAGATATCTCCCGTTTCTTATAAGTCAGTTATCAACTTTTTTTTTAAAAAAATAACAAGATAGATTAATACAAGATATATATGTATACATAAGTACTATTCTCAGATATTTACACACTGCTGGAGAACTGATCTTTGCTGGGTCGACCCAAAACCACAATAGTCCCAGTTTCAAAAACGAACCGGGACTAAAAATGATCTTTAGCCCCGGTTGAAAACCCCACAGCCATTCTATGATCTTTAGTCCCGGTTCATTCCCTGTCACAGGCATGTCAGCGGGCCGAGGATCAACTGGGACTAAACATCACCACTTTAGATCATCTAGATCTTTGCTCTTGGTTGGTATTTACCAACCGGAACTAAAATTCAACACGTAGTATATAATCCCTAGCACTTATCCTCTCCTCCACAATCGCAACCACTTCCTCACACAGATCGATCCTCCCCTTTCCTCCCGGCGGGGCCGCAGGCGGCGGCAGCCGGCAGCCGGCGTTGTTTTCTCTTTTTTTTTGATATTTTGTGATTCACTGAGATGTATAATTTTGTGATTCATTGTATGGATCTGAGATGTATAATCTGTGATGTATTTGATTTGTGTGTAATTTTTTAGGATTTGTGATGTATTTGAGTTGTGTTTATAAGTAACTTTAAGATTTGTGATATGGATTTGGGATGTTACTTTGATTTGGGGATTTGGGGTTTGATTTGGGATATGCATGCCACTCGATTCGGGAGAAAATAAAAAAAGAAAAGAAAAAAAAAGAAAATGGACCATTAGGACTGCTGGGAGAAAATAAAAAAGAAAAAAAAGAGAAAATGAGACCATCTGGACTACCGCTACCCTCTCTTTAGTTCCGGTTAGTAACACCTTATTACCAACCGGGATCTTTAGTCCGGTTATTTCAACCGGGACTAAAGATGGGTATCTTAAGTTCTGGATTCCTACTTCCGGTTGAAAACCCGGGACTAAAGGAGATTACCAACCAGGAGTAAAAAATATTTCTCCACCAATGACATCAGACAGTTTTTTTTTCCATGATGATTCTCGATTCTAAGCCATCTGAAGATAACCTAGAATGTATAGGTTTTGGCCGCGCTCTTCTCGGCTTTTCAACAGATATGAGCAGCATATGAGATGTTATAAGTGACACAAGCCTTTTTACCATTGGGCCAACAGGTACACTATCTTGCATAATTATGTCCATTATATATAAACAGATAAACATGACTATATGAGTCCATTGGCATGTATTCTGATCAACGTATGGCCAATTATCGTTGGCCTGAAATAGGATTCTGATTGGCGTGCGGCCCATTGCAGTTAGGGGTGTAGATTGGTAAAACTTTTAAACAAAAAATTATTTTTGTAAATATTTTAATAAATAAAATTAAAAATTAAAAAAATTCAACTAACTTCTGTGTGTATCCCATTATGGTTTGCCCAGAATAGCAGAAATGCACTAGCGAGCTCGTATCTTTCTTTGTGAGGCTGCGAGTAGTTAAAAGTGGAGGATGCTGGGCTAACATAGTAATTCGGGCCCAATGCGAAACATAAAATGATACTCTATATTTAGAAAATATTAAAAACAAGAGAGCAAATTTTGCAGCTAAATAATAAATTACGTCAATGGTTGTGGCGTCGGTAGGAAAAAATAAGTGCTTTCTGATCTGGTTATTTAATTTTCTTTACCAAGTAAAAAAATAAAATATTTAGTATGTGAGTATGTTTTTTTTAAGTATGTGAGTACGTGTTGTATCGTTGTTATAAACTATATTTATTTATGGTTACCATAATTATTATCTAACATTTATCGAACCCAAAGAAAACAAATATCCAGTAGGTTAAGAAAAGTGGAACTTTTGAAAAATACAATAACTACAATCGAAAATATATTAAAACACGGTGGTTTGTATTGAAATGTGGGAATTTCGGGACCCTTAATTTTGAGGAGCCTATACGGTTGATCAATTGGCACATGGCCATGAACGGCCCTGGGTGGATGTTATGGACGAAACGGAGTTGACTTGCTGTGGACAAAGTTGTTCCGTGGCGAGAGGAAGGCAACACTTTGGAAGGGGAAATGGGAAATGGACGATTCCGTTTTCACGGAGATCAAACCCATCGCACGAGTTTTTTCTTGCTATTTCATGGTGATGGATGTGCGACGTGCATAGAACACAGCGAAAGCAGCAAAGGAGAGCTCGCAATCTTTCAAAGCAAGAGCGTCATCCTGGCATCCGGCTAATTCCGCGACATGATCTCCTCCTCGAGCCTCCTGGCGACGCCGCGCGCGAGCTCGTCGAGGAACCCCACGAACCCTTCCAGCGACCAGCCCCGCACCGGGTCGGCCTCGAACGACCACGCGACGGCGCACCCGGCCGGGTCGGGCTCCACCCGGAGCGTGGCCGCGTACCGGCCGAACCCCTTGTTGGTCTCCACCACCTCGTAGCTGTACCGCCGCGCGACTGGGTCGAACTCGACCAGCCTCTCCTTGGACCACCCGGCCACAGCCTCCGCCGCCTTGTTCACCGGGCCGGCACAGTAGCGGACGCACCCGGGCTGGCCCTCGGCGCCCTCCACCCTTCGGCACGTCTGCACCGAGGGTACCCACCGGTGGAGGGAGCAGAAGTCCCCGAGCAGCGCCCACGCCTGGTCCGGCGTCGGCCCCTCCACCGCGGCGCGAACCGACCCGTGCCACGCCGCCGAGACTGCTTCCTCCTTCCCGTCGTCAGCCATGGACGCCGCCGGGTGACCGGAGCCGTGTGCTTCGGCTGCTGCTGCTGCTTGTTGCATCATGCCGGTGGAAAATGGAGATTGGACATTGGAGACCTCTGACTGTTCTTGCTTTATGCTTGACCTTGACCGAGTGTTTAGCGTGAAGCCATATGTGACACGTGTATCCGTGTGCATTTCGTCGTCGAATGCACTGTTTTGCTTGGCGTGACACTGTGACAGCGCTGGATCGAGAGAGTCGAGACGAGATCTTGGGGAGAAGCTTTGTACTTTTGTGGTGTAGCCGTCACCCAGTCCAAAGAGATGTGATCGTTTTGTATCATTGTGTGTGTGTGTGGAGTGTACAAGGCTAAGGTCATCACCAATGCGGTGCTTCAGCCCGTGCCCCTAGCGATGGCCGTCTCCTTTTCCGTCAGCGTCGTCCCCCTGCGAGAGAGCGTGTCCCTCAGCTAGGAGACCTCCCACTCCCCCAGCTCCTTTTCGCACAGGCGCTGGTGGAAGGAACCCGTTGCGTTGGTACAGGTACTTGAGGCGACGCCCCCTCCCCCCCCCCCCCCCCGCCCCCCGCGAGGATTTCCTCTTCCACCCCTCTCCCCTCTCCTCCTTGGCGATACCGATGGAGCTCCTCGTCGCGCTCAGTCACGGTCGCCAGCGACGGGAGAGAGGTGTGGCTCCGGCGGTGGCGGCGAGAAGGAGAGGGAGGCGTGGCGGGAGAAGGAGAGGGAGAGGCGAGAGGCGGCGACGACCTGGGACGGTGCTGGGATGCCAAATCCGCGGCGAGGGCGACGGATCTGCAGCAAAGTAGGCGGCTCTCGTCTCCCTTGCCGACGGAGCTTCGTCCGTTCGCCTCGAGCTCGTCGAGTCCGCCGCCTCAAGCTCACCATCCGCCGCCTCGAGCGCGAGGGCTTGCCGTCCGCCGCCTCAAGCTCGCCGCGCGCTCACCGTCCGCCACCTCAATGCGGCACGGCTGACGCCGCTCCATCCGCCGGGGGGCCAGATCCGGCCACAGCGGCGCCGGATCTACCGTCTCCGGGGGTCGCCGCTGCCACCTTCCACGGGGGAGAGAGAGAGAGAGGGAGAGAGTGGTGGGAGAGAGAGCGGCGACGGCGACTCGGTGCGCTCTCGCGTGCGTGCGTGTGAGAAAGACAGTGAGAGGGGGGAGGGGGAAGAGAAGGGTAGAATAGGAAAGAGATGAAGAGGAGAGAAATGGGTTTTTTTGTTGGGACACTCATTAGGCTACCCTGCAATGTAAAGGTGAGTTCTCTTAGAGTACCCTTAGTTAGTGAGGGTATTCTATAAGTGTCTCACATTGTGGATACCCTAACGGCGATTGGGGCACTCAGGCAGGCACATGTAATGTGATGTTATGCTTTCCAGCAGGGAAGAGGAATCAATGGACGCCACGTTGAACTTTCCTGCTCTGATTTTGGCTGCTTCCGGGCGTAGGAAAAAACAAAAAGGCATATTGCCATGTGCATGCCAGAATGCGTAACTTGTTTGGTTCACGTAATTTTTGTCTATCCTAGTTAACAAAAAATAAACTAAAAATCACTTTAAACCTAAAAATAAAAGCTATTTCATCTAATTGAACTAAAATAGACCAATCATTACGCATAAACAAATCATGCCCGTTCTAGTTTGACCAAGTAAGAATAATGTTTATTCCATGGTATTACTGTGATTTGTTCTAGTTTTTATGTCAACGGGTCAACTAATTATGGACAAATTTCTTTTCCACTAACTAGCATGGCGCAGATTGTGCGGCTACTATCTTTATTTTCTCTCTTACATAATATCATATTATTTTTCTATATTTCATTATTAAAATATATTGAAATGGTAACATGATTCTAAATTTTGTGCTTACCTAACCAAACTAACCAAATTGAATTGTATATACGTGATAGTCATTAATTATATTTTAATTCAAGTTATTTTTAAATTATATTTCTATGTGAACCATAGACACCTCTTCCAATATTATGTGTTTCTTAATTCCGAATTTTTGTTATTTATAAATTTTATTCATACTTAGACTCTAAATTCTTCATTCAATATTTATTATTTTAAATTATGAATTCCAGTTAATTATATATTGTACTCGTATATGGACTTTGGACTCTTATTTCAATATTCCTTATCTTCTAATTTCAAATTTCCATTATTTTTAAATTTATTTCTATGAACTTTAGACTCTTCTTTTAATATTCATTATTTTTCAATTCTAATTTTTCATTATTTCTAAGTTGAATTCTTATATGGACTCTAGAATCTTCCTCCAATATTCTTTTTTTTTAAAAAAAAATTAATTTTAGTAATTTCAAAATTGTATTTACTCCTGACTCTACTTTTAAATCCCTTAATTTTATTGTTTTCTATTTTCGAATTTTAGTTAGTTCTAAATTTCCACATTTCCACATGGACTCTAGACTCTTATTCCAGATATCTTTTTTTTTTATTTTAATTTGTCGTTATTTTTTCCTAAATAGCTATGGTGATTGGTAAACAATCAGATGTAAAATTTGTCAGACTAATTTCAGATAAAAAAGAGTGATGCTCTTATTCCAATTATCTTATTTTTTTTAAATTTTTCGTTAATTTTTTTCCTAAATAGCTATGGTGATTGGTAAACAATCTGATGTAAAAATTTGTCAGATTAATTTCAGATAAAAAAAAGAGTGATAAAAAAACAGAATTCGCCCACCGTGGGGCTCGAACCCACGACCACAAGGTTAAGAGCCTTGCGCTCTACCGACTGAGCTAGACGGGCTTGCACATCTCGTAAATTAAGGAATACTATATATACGGCACGAAAACAAAAGACAGTACCCTTGAATTTTTGTTATAAATTTGTCTCCTTATCTTGTCTTTGCACGTTCACTTACATAAACTGATGTAGGAGAGATTAAGCAGGGGACTGGTTGCATTAGCTTCAGCCACGCATTCGTGCAATCAATAAGATAGAATATATACCTGGGTGAAAACTAGCGTTACATCTTACATGTGAACTGCAACACACAGCAATACATGGCAGGATTTTCTATCTCTGCTGGAAATTTAAGGTTCTGATGGAGTAAGCATATGTAAAAGCGAAGAAGACAGTAAAGCCAGCCAGCACTGCAGCCACGACGCCCATGAAGTCCGGGTCATAGCCAAAATAGTCCTTGATGAAAGGTCTGACTTGCTGATCAGATTGTCCAGGGACCGTGATAAAATCCTCCACATCTCCGTACTGTGACACAATAAGGCCGTATACTGTCCATGCCACTGGACAAAGCCAATAGTACCAAACCCACCATTTTGGGATTTTCTGCAGAAACATACAAAACCAGATCAACCTACAGAAATTGTACAGAAAAAGGTTTAGAGCTTAAATATAGACAATTAAGGGACTTACCGGTCTTGGGATGAAGAATCCTGAAAAGAGATTGAAAAGGGTGTAAAAGGCAGCACCCAATATGGAAGCAACCTGAAGGTTTGGTGATACGGAGACGTTCATCATGCCATAGTAAGTGAAATAGAGGAAGGTGAAGAATGAAACATAGAAGAACCAGAAGAATTTTGCTGGTGTCCATTGGAACGACATCATTGGGTAGACAATAAGTGTGTAAATGACAGTCTCAACGAACACATACGGTATCTCCACAACAACCTGACAAAAATTCAACAGATTGATTATAAAAAGTTACTTATATATTGAAATGAATTTATATCTCATTTCTACTACATGATTGTGACCTTCTGTTGCAAAGTTTCCATAATATTCCATTGGTCTGACATTTTTAAGGTGTTCTGGGTTCAGTTGAGATACAAAGTAATATCACTGACCTGAGCTAGAGCATATGGTATAGCCGAGTACATTCCAGCTGCCCGCTCTCTGTAAAATACAGTCCTTTCCACAGCAACAACGGGTTGAACAGTTACAGAATTCTCAAAACCAACAAACAAGACGGCAGCATACATTGATCCAATGATGACCAAGAGATCTTTTGAACTCTCCCTGCATCAAATAAGAAACATTTAAGGAACCAGTGATAGGTATTCATGAAAATATTCAATGACTCTGCGGATAATAACTTAGCCTGATAAAAGTACATACATCTTGTGACCAACCCTCCAAAATATAGTCCCCAACATTAAAGCAGTAAATAATGCAAAGAAAATCCTGACAAGGTTATAATCAGGGCTTCTCCAGTAAGTCCACCATTGTTTCCAGAGGCAGAGCTTGAACTGATTAAAGGTGCTCTGCGAGTATTGACTAGGGAAGTAGAGGTCATCGGAACCAGGAGGTGGATTGCTCAGTTCTTTTACCAATGCTTTGGTTCGCCTGAAAATAATTAGCCATAGAAAAAAGGTCGCAGTTATCTAAATGCCTTAAGAGTTAAAGATGCAAGAGAGTAAGCCCATTTTTTGCTTCAATTGCATGATCTAAACTTCAAGGTTGACAGTGCATGCTAACAATATAATGCTGCCTCCACTCCTGGAAGAAATTGAATTGTGGAAAGAACACTGCACTTACTGGTGCATAGTCGATGACCTGTAATATTCAGCAAAATCAATTTCCAATCGAACTTCTGATGCAGCTGAGCTTACATCCAGCATCCATGTAGCTGGGTTGCGATTCTCTTCGATCTTTGGGACTCCAGGAATTGCCTAGTTTGATAAAGCGGGCAAAAAAATGAACATTTCGAGATGCAGGCTTCACAAAGAAGGAACTTGAAATCATATCATATACATGTAATTGCAGAGTCTCTTACAAGGTACCACCACAAGATTATAGGGGAATTTAAGCTATGGGGATAAGTGAAATAGTTTGGGTGTCAGACCACAAACCTCAAAGTACTCAACAACTTTATGAGAATTTGTACCCAATGGTCCAGAATATATAACCTGGCCTCCTCTTTTTAGTAGCAACAACTGCATGGTGAAAAATCAAGATCTTCAATTAACAAAGAGCAGTAAAGCAGTAATTTTGAAAATAATGTATACAGTAGACTATACCTCATCAAAAGCTTCAAAAATGTCAATGCTTGGTTGATGAATAGTGCATACAACGGTTCTTCCAGTATTGACAGTGTTACGTACAGTTCTCATAACAATAGCAGCCGCTCTTGCATCAAGACCAGAAGTTGGTTCATCCATAAAGATAATTGAGGGGTTTGCCACAAGCTCTACAGCGATTGTCAGCCTCTTTCTTTGTTCTGTTGACAGCCCATTCACACCAGGGAGGCCCACAATAGCATCTTTCAGACCAGTAAGCTCAACCAGTTCCATAACTTCATCCACAAAG